GCTAATCTAATCTAATGCTTAAATTCTTAATCTTACAATTAAACATTAATATATTTTTGATTTTTGAAAGATTTAACTTCATTTTCTTATTTACATGATGTATGTTTTAGACCAATTTCTAAATGTTCTAAGTTTGGGAAAATCATGAACGTAACTTTGAATTTTTATATCAATGTTTTTTATAGTAAAAACAGAAACTTTTTTGGACGTTAAATTTGTAGTTCTAAAGGATCTCTTTGTACATTTAATATATTTTGTGGAAAAATCGAAATAAGAAAATGATTATCACTTCAAACAAATATTAAAATGAAATTAAAAATTGATGTACATCTACCGGATAATTGTACTCTAGTTCCCAAACAAGCCTTAACTAGTTAACTCTGAAACTCTTCTTAGTTCAGTATCCAATTACCAGTCGAGAGAGAGGAGAGAGATCCAAAAGGATCCGACAAAATGGTTATGGAATTAGTCTTGATCTCTTTCAAATAGAATGAGTCAACTCGGTCTCCAATAATCTTGATGGATGGTGGAGTGTCTTTGGACAGAGCACGAAGATTCTTAAAACAAAGTGAAGCAGCTTGCATGACACTTGACACCACATTTTTTTTTTTGCTGTAAAAGAAGATAAAAGTTTAAGCTTTTATACAAATAAAGTAAAGCATATTACATTTGTGGTTGTAAATTAAAGAATTAGAATACACGTGAATGTAAGACAGGAATAACGTGTGAGAATATGTTAGTTGTGGCATAAGTATCACGTGTAAGTTAGGTAAAGAATATCTAAAGGAATATGTTGTGTAATATTCCTTAGATGTTGTAATATAAATAGAGGTTTGGGAAAACGTTGTAAACCAAGCCAAGTGTGAGAGAAAACATTAGAATCTTTGCTGTAATCCTTTAAGTGTTCTGATCAATAAAGGTTTCTCTTTTTATACATCCTTGTTCATAAACATTTATCTTTTGTCCATTTGATCCTGCAAAAATCTCCTATGTGATTGTACCCACTGTGTCTCTGTAAATTTGCTCAGTTTTTTATACAAAAAGAACAAATTTATATATAATTTTTTTTTTCTAAAACTTTTGCTCTTTCTCAAATTTGATAGGGAATATATTTGTTCATATGCACTCACAAACGTTTCATGTCACCAAGTTAGGTTCCAAATTTATCATACTGGTAAAAGATTTTAGAAATAACATATACTTGCTTCTTTTGGATTTGATATATATATCTGATATTCATTTTGAATGAATTGAACAAAAAGTGAACGAAATAAATCATCATATCAAACGTCGTAAAAAAATACATTAATATTGGATTCAAAATCCCACCAGATATATGTATCGTCGTGATTCATGACCTAAAATGTACACATCAGAAGAGCAAACGAAATGATTAACTCTGCATGGTGATACCAAATTTTTGGGAAGGAAGAGATCACAAGAAGAATTTCAAGGTGAATTTGTAATTTCATTAACTTCTATTCCATTAACAACCGAACATGTTTGCTTCTCATTTTTGTTTTCTTCTTCCTAAATCGAAACCACAGACAATATCTACTCTTTTTCTACTTGCGAGACTGCAAATTTTCCAAAAAAATAATCTATAACAAATTGATGACGAAGCTAAGGTTTTGATTTTCTCTCTTGAATAACATGATTGATTCAACCAAGTCATTTTAGTCCATAATACACATTACATAACCGATATTCTAACCAAACAACTACTATGGTTATATACCATAAATTATTAATTTTTGATGGTTATATTTGCTAATTTACCTAATATCTCATGTGAAAAAAAAATCGAAAAAAAATGAATATCAATTCCAAAAATATCGTGTTTAAAAAAAAAAATTCCAAAAAAATCAATTGGAATAACATCTGCCGGATAGTTGTATCCTAGTTCCCAAACACGCCCAAACTGAAACTCAGTTCTAATTACACAAACTCGAAAGATCCAAAGATCCGACAAAAAAAAATGGCTCCAAGATCCGATTCACAAACCCTAGCAACCGGCTCCAGCGTATCTGACGGTTCAGATCAATCCTCAATCGATCCAATCTTCCACCTTCTCCGACTCCTCCCGTTCTCTTTTCTCCGACCACCGCGTCTCCGTCTCAAGATCCCATCCTTCACACTTCCTTCTCCGATGACTGTATACGCACTGATTCTCCTCACTTACTTCCTCGTAGTATCCGGATTCGTCTACGACGTGATAGTCGAGCCTCCAGGTATCGGATCAACTCAGGATCCAGTCACCGGAACGGTACGACCCGTGGTGTTTATGTCGGGTCGGGTCAACGGTCAATACATCATTGAAGGTCTTTCCTCTGGATTTATGTTCGTTCTTGGTGGGATTGGGATCGTTATGCTTGATTTGGCTCTTGATAAGAACAGAGCAAAGAGTGTTAAAGCTTCTTATGCTACTGCTGGAATCTCCTCTATTGTGATTGCTTATGTTATGAGTATGCTCTTTGTCCGAATTAAGATCCCTGGTTATCTCCATTAGGGTTTTAGATTACTTCAATGTGTAAGATTGATCACTTGAAATGTTGTGTCCTTTTAGATTGAGTTTCTTCTTTGAATACATTATAAATTTGAAGCATTTCTGTTTGGTTTCATATCAAGTTCTTAGTAACTGTTTCAAATGATTTCGTTTTGTATGAATCTTATAAGAGCACTAAGAGAAAAAGTATGATCTTTCAAGTGGCTTTGTTTGACACACATAACTCTTCCAAATGAAATTGGGAAGTGAATGTATCATCCTTTGGCTATGATTTGGGTGTGTGATTTACATAATTTTGATTATGAAAGCAAATGTGAGATTGAAGAGAGAAAACAACAATTGTCAAAGAGTATGGAAATAGCTGAGAATTTCAGACAACTGGAGAATGTGAGGCCTTGTTTTTTAGTCAAAGTTTGCTAGTGTCTAAAGAATCAGGAAGAAGATTTTTTTTGTCATCTCGATTAATATTAAACATAAAGGGAAATCATACAAGAAATAAACGGTACATGGACAAACAACAAAACAAATTACCTCAATCCAAAACACTTACCCAAACCAACAAGACGCACTCACCACACAAATCGCAGGAATAAGTATACCTTACTAACCAATAGTGTAAAAACAATTCAATACATAAAAGCTAACAATAGTGTCAAATCAATTAGGCTAACAGTTTTTGTATAGCTAAAGAGATGTACAAGACAGACACAGAGACATTATTGTATCACTAGAATACTATATTTTATAATAATGTTTTACTATCTACTAATGAAATGCTTCCTATTTTTATTTTTAACAAATGTTTCCTATATTTATTGTTTAATTATTTCTCGTATTGTTTGCATATAGGTTCCATCCATTGTTATTTCTTTTTATGGCAACAACTTTATTTCTGCATCTTCTCGACCTTCGCCATTGTTATCAAATTGTTCTAGTGGAATTGTGTTAGTATGAAAAAAAAAAAAA